GGCTGGGCGTATCTGTAGGAAGCATAGCCCCCCTGCAACGGAGGGTAGACTGTGTCAGGGAGGGGGCAGCACCCACTGGGGAGGCTCGGGGATCCCCTGGGCACTGCTGCAAGGCAGTAGCGGGACCCTGTGGGGATCTGGTGCCTGTGCCACCAGGCACGCAGCAGCCTCATTACTATTCCCCAGAGGCTTCCACAAACATTAACCTTAAAAAGTTAAATTTCCAGAGGAGAGAATGTCACCTCCCTGATGGCTTTAATGAGGTGTCACGTTAGATAAATCCTTCAGCTGCCCGCCTGAAATATCGCCAATGGCTTCTTAAATATGGGGGTTAAATGCCAGTGTAAGACAGTGCCAAGGCCGTAAATCCCACGTGGTGCTGGCCCTGTGAAGGGCCTGGCAGGGGTAACAGGACCCACACAGTGCCACCCTGCTTGCTCTGAAGGAGTCATGCTTATGTCCCTGCTCTGCCTGGGCTTCAGCTGCCCTCCCCAGGGGAAGGGGCTGGCTGAGGAAGAGCCCAATGTGGAGCTGCCTGGTTCCATTCACCCTCCACCCTGGCCCAGAGCTGGGCATGGAACTTACGTAGATCTCGGCTCCATAGAACCCATCCTGGTAGACAACCCTGCAAAGCAGATGGAGGTGTCAGAGCTGGCATCACCAGCTGAGAGGCATCGGGGTGACTTGGGGGAGCAGCTGGCAGCAACACAGCCTATGGGCAAGGTGTGGCTGTCCGGGAACCCCAAGGACATGTCCCAGGCTGGGCCTCCCAACAGGGAGGGCAGGGACATAGGGACACACAGAAGGCCTGGCCAAAAGCAGGGGACACTGCAGGGAGCAACCACGCGACCAGAGGTTGCCATGGCCACACCTGGCACCAGAGCAGACCTGTGTGCCAGAAGCAAGGATTTCTATTAAACCAAGGGACACAGCTGGAGTCACTGTCCCTGTCTTACAGCACAGGAAGCTGGTGGGCTCATGGGGCACCCTGAGGGGCAGCTGCCTAGGGGTTCCGCGGAGCTGGGACCAGGCAGGTGCTGGGGGAGTTGCAGCCCATTCCTGAAGTACAAGAGCCTGGCAATGCCAACGCAGGTGGCAGCAGGACTGGAGCCACGTGGCAGCACACGTTCCCCTGCGCAAGGCAGGCGGTGCCCGCCGCCCCGGTACTCACGCGCCATAGGTGGGGATGGGTGGCGGCGGCGGCGCAGCTCGGAATGTGTTGTAGACAGCGCGTCCTCTGCCCCGTAAGTGTGCCCCTCGGTAGGCCACAGCCGTCCCCGTGGCAGGGTATGGGAACCCCGTTACTGCAGGAGGGAGGGGACAAACATGGGCTTCCCACAGCAGCTCCCAACAGTGCACAGCTGGGACCCTCACAGCCACTGTGGGGCACCCTGTGCCAGAGCCTGCCTCTATCCCCTGCTGGGGACATGTTCCGTGGGGATGCTGAGGAGGGGGCACAGGAGCTGTGCACACAGGGGTGCAGGAGGGGGAGAGGGGCCGGGGGCTGCTTGCTGCTCAGGGCACTTGACACAGTGCAGAGCCGGCACAGGGGGGACCCGCAGCAGGGCTGGCCCTGACCTGACATTACCTGCGTAGAACTCGGGGCCGTAGACTGCTCCCACCACCGGGTTCAGCTTCCAGCCTGTGGGCAGGGAGAGCCAGTGAGGCTGTGACACCCCCTGTGTAGCATCCCCCCACCCTGGCTGGGCTCCAGGGACTCCCCTGCCCGCTGCAGCTCTGATCTCCTTGCACTGGCCCTTACCGTTGGTGTAGGGGTTGGCTGCTTTCTTGTTGGTCATGACACGGGCCGTGGCGTTGTTCACCTGTGGAGAGAGGGGATGGGAGCTCAGCGCCTGCAGCAGCGGGGGCAGCCAGGCTGCAGCCCGGGGCCTGCTCGGCCTCACGGAGGACACGCCGCTGCTGCTTCAGACACCGGAGCGAAGGACATGGGAGGAATCCCTGCCTGCAGCTGCCCCGGCCAGGGCAGCCCTGCCCACACCCTCCACCAGCCCCAGCCCCTGCCCCGGCTCCAGCGATAAGCCTGGGTCCAGTTGGTGGCTGATGCCCCAACCACTGCAGCACCGGCTCAAGCCAAGCCCCAACGTGCTGCCAAGCAGGCTCACCCACCTGGTTGGTGAGTGGGCCCTGCAGGAAGGATATGCTTGCTGCAGGAGTCTGGGTCATCCCTGCAAGCTCCTGCCTGGTTTTCCTGGACCGTGTTCTACTACAGGCAGAGTCTATCCCTGGGGCATTGCTGTGCCTTGCCAGGCTGCCCTTCCTGTCACCACTGTGGGGACACTCATGTCCCTGCTTCCCACCACTTGCAGTGACCAGCAGGGCGTTGCCAAAGAATGGGCAAAGCTTGATCCCTCTGCCTGGCTCCAACCAGTGTGAGCCTTGGGAGCTGGGCAGTGCGTTGGAGCCCTGTGCAGCCTCCTCCCTGCAGAGCCCAGGGTGGTTGTGTGGCAGCGGGGTTCTGCCAGACTCCTCTGTCACTGGGCAGAAGGCAGCTAGAGTCTGGGTGGTTGCCCCAGCTCTGCCTGCACATGGGAGGTTCATTTGAGCCAGATGGTCAGACCTTCCTGGCAGTGGGCACACATGTCCCAGTGCCACATTCATGGACACATGCACCCACCAGGCAACCTCCACTGGGGCATGCAGGACTGGGGTGGGTCCTGAGGCTGCCCCAAAGCGTCCCTGGGCAGCTCTGCCCTGCCTGCAGCCCCATGCAGGGCACAGGGGATGCACACACACGCAGCCATGGCACTAGCACACTTATCTGAGCACCTCAATCTTCCGGCCCTCTACGATGGTGCCATTCAGCTTCTCCCGTGCCCGGTCGGCATCTGTGCTAGTTTCAAAAGTTACAAACCCAAAACCCTGTGAGCAGAGGAGAAAAGGAGAAAGAAAGAGACAGAGAGACAGAGAGAGGGTGCGGGGACAGAGAGAGAGAGGGGGTGAATCAGGAGAGCTGGCGCAGGAGGTGAGGCTGCCGCAGTGCAGAGATGGAGAGCCCAGGTCGGGGCCCCCACTGAATCCAGGGGTCCCGGCTGAGGCACCAGCATCACCCGCGAGCTGGGAGAAGAGTCTGGGAGAGGGGCATAGAAAGCAGGGAAGATACAAACAGAGACATTCACACACAAAGGGACACAAGCTGCCTGCATAGGGGGACAGAGCAAGCCCTCCCCTCCCTCTGGAGCCCAGGGCACAGGGACCTGCATGGCCACCCAAGCTGGCACAAGGGCTGCCCCAATATGGGGTACCCTGTGCCTGGGTCCCAGAGGCAGGAGAGTAGGGAAGAGCTGGCAGAGGAGCCCCCAGGCATCCCAGCTCCACCCAGCCCCCTCCCCAGGGCTCACTGTAACAGCACCAGCCACCAGCAACACCCACCTTGGAGCCCCGCTCATTGAAAATGATCTCCACGTCCAGGATCTTCCCAAATTGCTGCAAGCAGAGAGCAGAGGAGTGAGGGCCTGCAGAGCCCCCAGCCCTGAACCTGCTGACATAGGTGTAGGCAGGGAGTTGCCTTGGGGGCCAGACCTGGGGGCCCTAGTGCTGTGGAGGGGAGAGCCTGAGCACAGACCTGTCTCTCCATGCCACCCTCTTCCAAGACCCAAAATCTCATTAGCCTGCACTGTTCTGAAACGTGATGAGGGCTGGGAAGGGGACAAGGGGAGGGGGACAAGAGCTCTGTGTCACTTCCCCCTCCAGGCAAACGTTGCAAACCACCACTCCTGGCCAGCAGCAGCATGGAGAATCCATGCCCTCGGGAGGGGAGAGTGCTGGGGTCCCTGCAGTGCCATGGGGCAGTGCCTGAACAGAGAGCAGTGGGACACGGGTAGCTGGATGGGGCTGGACTCACCCCGAACATTTGCCGCAGGTCGGGGTCCCGGAATCGGAAGGGGATGTTGGAGACGTGTAACCTCTTGGGCTGCTGCTTCTCTGTGTTGTCTGTGGAGTGTAGCTGCTGGCTGTCTGTCTGTGCCGCCTCGTCTGTCTGCTGTGGGAAGCACCGCTGGCCGTCACTCACTGGCTCTGTGTCCCCCGGTGGGGGTCTGGGCTTGGGAACTATCCCCTCCCCTGCACTTGCCAGCGCAGCACAGGAGCCCCACTCCTGGAAGGGCACAGCAGGGGGCCCAGCACTCCCTGCACTGCCTCACACGGGGCTGGGGAGATGCTGGAGAGGGTCTTTGCTGCTGGGTGTGAGGGAAGGACAAGCCTAGGGAACTGGCCACCAGTCCCACCTCAGCCAGTGCTGCCAGCAGGACTGGGGCATCATCTGCCCCATTAGCAATGCCAGGGACCTGGGGGGCCTGAGTGCTGTGGGTGCACAGCCCAGGGAGGGGGAGTCCTGGAAAAGAGTAGGAGGTGGCCTCCAGAGGTGCCTGCCAGCACTGGGTGGCCTTGTGCTGGCCTGTGCTCCCCTGGTCACCCAGTGGCACGATGACCCAGGGTGGTGACTGGCACAGGGGTGTGCTCGGGAGAGGGGGTGACAGACCCCGCACGGGGCCGCTGTGGCCAGGCTGGGAAACGCTCCACTCAGCACTTTCCTGGCGCTGCATTACAAGCCCGTAATTGAAGCTATCTGGTGGGAAGGCAGCCAAGCAGGTAGATTACAAGTGATTAGAAATGACGGGGAGGGCTGCGAGGGAGAGAGCCAGCAGCTGCGGTGGGGCTACCCAGCCCAGCACCCTGAGGGACCGCGGCCAGGTGAGCACTGCTGCCCCAGCACCCTCCCGGCAGCTCCGGTGCTGCCCCAGCCCCCCGGTCACTGCGCC